GAGCTGGCAAGGGCAGGGAGTGATCGCGGTGCGAAAGGGCACGGACAATGAGCGGCTCATGCCAAATCTTGCAGCTTGGGGGTTCATGAATGAATCGAATCAACACCCGAAAGAGAGGGATTCTAGAGACTGTGCTGGTATGGGACGGTACAGTTAGGAATGGCTTATAAGAATTAATTGGTACTACCTACACTAACAAGATGCATCTACTTTTCTGTAGCCCGGATCGGAAGAACTCCACAATTAAGCGTGCTTGACTTGGAGCAATTCTGGGATGGGTGACCTCCTGGGAAGTTTTCCCGAGAAGTGTGCGAGTGAGGACAAAGCACACTGAAAAGTCTCGTGTTAGTGTGTGGGGACAGTCATTGATTCTTGCAAGTGGCAGGGCGTTACATTGAGCTAAAATAAAAAATTTTCCATACAATCAAATATACCAAGCTATATACCTAATATCAAGATATTACATTGAGCAGCCTCCAATTCCCAAGAAGAACAAGAAACAATAGATATGGCACCACACTCTAAAAAATCGTTTAAGAAGAACAAGAATAAGGACTCAGGAGACATGCCAAAAATCGATAAAGCTTCGAAGAAAATATTCAAACCCAAGAGGGAGAAAAACGCCACCGCCGCTAAGTCTGAAGCACCTGCTTTGCAGCTCGAAGACGAAGTTCCCGATTTCCCCAGAGGTTTGGAATGATCTTACACGGTTTTGATTTTCCCTTATTTTGTAACTTAAGGGGTTGTGGCTTTGTGAGAAGCCTAAAGGCATGAAATATAAAGGAAAGACGTTGTCTTTATGTCATATGCTTGTAGAGTATGGATATTGATTTCATTGTTGGTGTAAAACAGATCGTGATTGGACTATTTGTGGACTTTGAGCTTGTGTGGACTCTTGGCGTGGATAGTTAGCTTGCAAGGTAAGCTTTCGTGTCCTCGGTTTAGCCATTGTTGGTTCCACCATATCCATGGGGGGATGATTTATATGCATGATGTGTTTTCATGTATTGTTTTATTGAAATGCTATTGAGTTGTTAAGTGCAAATGCCTTATGATATCTATGTGGTGTTCGCCTAGACGAGATGTGATCCTGTGGGCAGGTACGGAATGGGCGCGTACTGTGTGGGTAATAGACGTATTCCTGCATTTCTCTGCCCAGTAGATTAGTTATAACACACATGACATGATTATCTGCTGCATTGTAATTATTTTGGAACTTATACTGTTAAACTGCTCTTGGAACTTATATTGCACATGTAAGTGAGCTTGCGGTGGAAGATCCTTGAGGACCCCTTATCTTATTGAGATTTCTGTTTAGAGATCTCACCCCATGTTTGGGGCACATATTTCAGGTGCAGGTAACCCTGGGGTTGAGACCTCGGACGGCAGGAGGCCGGAGCTGAGTTAGATGTTTGCTGTTATGATTATATGCTGGATGCTGACATGTTATCTTTATGATTATGTTGATATTGTTGAGACTCTGTTGGGCCTTGTTGCCTTATTTTGTGAGCATGGGGATTGTCCATGCCACATTTGATTATGTATCGTTGTTTAGACTTGAGTTGTATAAATTATCAGGGTTGTCCAACCTACGTGTTGTAGTGCCGTAACTAGAGACACATTCACTTATCTATTTTATATGAGGTTATTCAGTGTAGATAGTTGTCTTTTTCAATTTACATACCAGCAAGGTTTTTGAAATGAATTAAGTAATTCAACTTGGTAATGATAATGACGCCATAATTGAAAAAAAAAGATATTCCGCATTTTTAATTAAGTGTGGCTTAATACGATGACATGTTTACTAACTGGGTATACACGGGGTGTTACAAATAGCCTTGGCACAGATTTTTAGGTCAGATTTAGTCTTTCTCTACGTGAAATTTCTGAAGCCTTGTGCCTCCACCTTGCCACCCTCACCTTTCTTCATGAGAACTCTTGCAAAATTCACCCTTTCTCCTTGATTCCTTCTCCATTATATTGTAAACACTAGGGGTGTGATTGGTGAGGGAGAAATGTACCATCTTCTGAGTTGGGGTTGATGTGTGAGGGGTTTTGGGTGCTGCCTCTAAGTTTGAGTGGTGAAGGAACCATTTCATGAGTGGTTGATGCTCCATAGAGTGAACTTTGATGAGAAAGGACCCATCTTGAAGCTCATTTTCGTGGCTTTGTGTTGGCTGCACTTTTGAGTGTCATAAGAAGCTCCAAGCCATTGCCTTTCCTCTATTTTGGAAGCTTGGTATGCATTCCTTACCTTGATCATGAGTTTTTCTTGTTAAAAGTTGAGTTTTGGCATGTAAAATGAGATGAGTAGGTAGCCAACATAAACACTTGCTTAAATGTGTCTAAAAATGCATACTTAGACGTCTGGAAGTGTTAAAAATGGAACCTTGAAGGGATAACTTCGCGAAAATGCAAAACTGCATTCTGTCGCGAAATATCCGTATATGGATATCCGGATATTGGGTGTGGAAATATCTGGATATGGATATCTGGATATTGGGTCTGGAAATATCTGGATATAAATATCCAGATATTGGGTCTGGAAATATCCGGATATTGATATCCGGATATGTCCCCGAGAAATATCGGGATATTCTAGAAAAAAATCATGTTTTGAGCTATTTTACCCAAACAGAAGCGTGGGTTGGGTTTCTGGACCCTTAATTGATTATTATGAACCTCTGAAATAATTTAATTAAGTCAGGACCAATAATATTGAAGACTTACGGCTTTGAGAGAAGCCTACGGTCATGAAACATAAAAGGAAACGTTGTCGTTGTGTCATGAACTTTTAGATTATGAATGTGATATGATTGTTGGTCTAAACAGATTGTTATTGAGCTGTTTGTGGACCTTGGGCTAGTGTTGACCTTTGACTTGGGATTTTTAGCTTACGAGGTAAGCTTTCGTGTCCTCGGATTGATCTGTTGCCTGTTCCACCGACCTCCATGGGAAGGTGGGTTTATATTCATGTATGCTTTTATGAAAGATGAAATATGCATTGATATATGCTTGAGATGTGTTAATTTAACTATTGATGTAATGTATGAAAGTGATGTTGATTACTTACACGATCAGACTCTGGCTCTTATGTTTAGATAGGTCGCGGACGTGCATAATCCCTATCCTGTTCCCTGGCCAGTCGAACCGCATTTGCATATATCACATGATTAATGAGTTAAAGTTTTTGGCTCTTTGAGCAAGAGATATATTGTCATGATCTAAATGTCTTAATATGAACATGCATTGTAATTACTGTTTTCGAACTTATATTATACTTGTAAGTGAGCTTGGGGCGGAAGAGTCCTTGAGGATCCCTTGTCTTACTGAGATTTTCTTTTAGAGATCTCACCCCACGTTTGGGGCATATTTTCAGGTTCAGGTACCTCGGGGGCTAATACCTCTGGCGGTAGGAGGCCGGAGCTTAGTTGACTGTTTATTGTCCGATTATGCTGATCTGCTTGGATGATGATTTGTGCTTTATTGTCATGCTATTGTTATTTGAGCTGAGAGTTTGTTGGGCCTTGTCGCCTTATTTGGTGAGCATGGGGATTGTCCATGCCATATTGATTATGCCTTGTTTAGTTAGACTTGAGTTGTATAAACTATCAGAATTATGTCCGGTCTACGTGTTGTAGTTCCGTGACTAGAAACACATCAATATATGAGGCATTTCAGTTAGTTGTTGAATTGCAATTTACATACAGGCAATATTTTGAAAATGAATTAAGTAATCAACTTGGTTAATAACAATGAAGTCATAATTGAAAAGAAAAAGTTAGTTCCGCATTTTTATTAAGCAGCGCTTAATACGATAATATGATAACAAACCGGGTATACACAGGGTGTTACATACCACATATCACATACTTTCATACATTTCAACCATAATATCCACCATCATGGTGGGGCCACAAGAGAGAGGAGAAACCAAAACCAGGAGCTTATCTCAAAGAGCTTAGCATAACCCCACACTCCAATATAATATGTATGCTCCAATACAATCCTCAAGTGCAAGGTTCTCTAGGCACACCTAGAGTAGGAATCATTCACATCATTAATTACATATTAATTTAATTAAGTCATATTTAAGACTTAATCATTTACTGGTCCCACTTTTCATACTCATATGCCAATAATATGCCCATTACAAGTCTAGACCATTTATTACTTAAATACATGTTTTTAGTGCATTATGAAGTATTTACAAGTTATTCTAACAACCACATAATTCAAACAATTCACACAACCTTAGAACCACACTCTAGGGACACTAAGGTACTTAGATTATTTTTCAACACTTCCCTCCTCACATCCTAACAAGGCCGAGCAGGAACCATATGCAAGCCCTAGGTTAGATTTTAACTTTACAAGTTGATTCAAGCTTAGGACACCCAATGAGCCCTAAATCATCCTTCAACATAATTTTGCACCTAAAAACCCTAATTATTCCTACATGGCCATGACCTATATGGTGTGTTTGAAAGTTTTTAGGTGCAAGATTATGTTGAAGGATGATTTATGGCTCATTGGGTGTCCTAAGCTTGAATCAACTTGTAAAGTTAAAATCTAACCTAGGGTTTATATGGTTCATGCTCGGCCTTGTTAGGATGTGAGGAGTTGAAGTGTTGAAAAATAATCTAAGTACCTTAGTGGCCTTATAGTGTGGTTCTAAGGTTGTGTGAATTGTTGGAATTATGTGGTTGTTAGAATCAGTGTTTAAAAACCCGGCCCGGCCATCGACCCGGCCGATGTCAGGGGTCATGGGGTCACGGGTTCAACCGGGGGGTCACGGGGTCACTGCGCTGACCCGGTTTTGTATGTTAAAAAAATATAAATACATATATCATATATGAAAATATTAAAAAATAAACCACCAATCATCAAAGATTCAAAATATAGTTAACATAATTCACCAATTACAACCATAAGTCAATATTACACAACCTAATTAAAGTATCAATATACCAAAGTACAAAACTCATATTCTAATGGGGTTAATTAAAAGTAATATCATCAAATTCAGGCTCTCCTTGTCTTTCTCCACCATTGCCATCCAAACCTTGAAGAACATTGCTTTCATTTTGGGGTACAATAGTCATATGAGGTTCATCATCTACATCATCCTCATCTAAATTCAATTCATCTACAATAACATATTATATGCAAGTCAATAAATAATATAACGTGATCAAATCATCAAATTAAACAATAGAATTATCATAAAGAAACATACCAATACCATCTACAATTGGTTCAATGGTATTATTCCTCAAATATCTTGCCTCTTCATCGGTTAATAATGGTGGTGACTCCTCAAAAACCCAACTAGTAGAATGATCATCCATTGTTTCCAAATTAATTGGGTCATAATTTTGGTGCTTCAATTGATTCCTATTTTTTCCAATATTCAACATCAACAAATATAAACATATATTTGTCTAAAAGAAAATAAACAATTTTTTGGAAATATGTACGTATAAATTATAATACCTTTGTTGTAGTCTTAGGTTGTATCGAACATATACAAGATCATTCAACCTTTTATGCTCTAACCGATTTCTCCTATTTGAATGGATCTGCTCAAATGCACTCCAATTTCGCTCACAACCGGAAGCACTACAAGTTTGGCTTAAGATACGAATAGCCAATTTTCTCAAGTTTGGTTCACCAAAACCATAAAGTTCCCACCATTTATCTGAAACATTGTAAGCAATAAAATATATTAGTATTCAATCATTCAACTATAACAAGAATTAAAGGTACATACTAATCATAAATTATTTTACCAGGCATAACTTTAGTTCGTTCCCGAATAGCTATGTTCCTTCCAAAATCACCATCAGATTCATTGAAAGTTCTCAGCTCAGATGTTAACTTGGACAATAATTCCTCATCCTTATGAGCATACCTCTCTATAACATCTAAAAGACCAGAAGTTGTCAATGCATGTTTATTGAATTCTTCAACATTGAAATGACATGCTGAATTTAACCAATATCCCGCAGCATGCAACTTTTTACGAAGCTGAGTATCCCACCGACTATCCAGGATGTTCAAGTACGGCTCCACCTTCTTTTTCTTTCTTTGAAACCGTCTAACCATCTCTTCTCTTGCTTTAAAAAAGGCTTGATAAAGATAACCCATAGAAGGCTTGTCTTCACTATCAACAAGACGCAACAAGCGTATAAGTGGTTCAGTAACTTTCACAATGTCAGCACATTCTTTCCAAAACCTAGAATCTAAGACTAAATCCACAAATTTTCTAGCCTTCAAATCCTTAGAATATGCTGAACTTGTCCACTCTCTTGAAGTTACCATTGCTCTTAATGGATCTTTTTGAGCTAATATGCTTTGCAAAGCAATAAAATTAGTAGCAAAGCGAGTTGGAGCTGGACGAAGAATTTCTCTACCACCTGTGAATTTTCTCATCAAGTGTAAAGGATGACAATGGTTATATACGTACTTGGTAATTGATGAAGCATGTGCCACGGTTGCACCCACTTCCTCTAACTTGCCAATATCTTGCAACATCAGATTAATACAATGAGCAGCACAGGGAGACCAAAATATTGTGGGAAACTCAGCCTCCAATAACCTTCCAGCAGCAACATAATTAGAAGCATTATCAGTCACAAATTGAACAACATTTTCAGGCCCAACAAATAGAACAATTTCTTTGAACAGATTAAATAACAAATCAGCAGTTTTGGAAGCATGAGAGGCATCCACAGACTTCAAGAAAACAGTTCCTTTAGGACAATAAACAAGAAAGTTGATAAGAGTTCGCCTAGTCCGATCAGTCCAACCATCAGCCATAATGGTGCATCCAGTTTGCCGCCAAACATTACGGTAGTTCTCAACAAGACTATGAACATCATCAACCCAACTATCTAGCAATGGACCACGCAACATATACATTGATGGAGCTTTAAAACCTGCACCCAAACTAACACAGCATCAAACATTTCTTGAAAAGAAGGATTGTTGGCAGCATTAAATGGGAGTGAAGAAATAATCATCCATTTTGATATAGATTTGTGAGCTCTCCAAATCACTTCTTTACTCTGTAACACGCTTTTTACGGTGGGTTGAGATCCAGGAGTTGTTCTTTGAAGAAAATAAGAACCTATGGGATTCTTCCCTTTTTCAGAGTTGGAAGGTGGACAACTTTTTTCAGGAGGTGTTATTTGGTCACCAAGCTCAATAGTTTCACTTTCTTCTTCATGTATGACTTTTCTTTTTTTCTGTTTACCTTCATCTAAATTTTTTTTCATTTCAGCCCGCACCTCAGGTGGCACACTCTTGCATGGCTCAACATGTCCTTTTTCTCCCGCCAAATGATTCTTTAACCGATTAATACCACCTCCTTTAAGAGTCTTGTTACAATACTGGCATACTAAAAAAGTTTTTCCATTCTCCATAACCTGTCTACAATGACCCCAACTTGGATCTTGCTTTCCCCTACAATTTGGTTTGGAGGAATTTTGGGACGACACATCTTCAGTTGGTGTTGAATTAAGTTCATTAGATGACATCTTGCTGAAAATTAATCCACATCAAATCATCAATAACATAAACAGTTATACAGGCACGATGGAAAGACATAGCCTTGGCTGGTCACATATTTTATTTTTAATTTAATTCCTAAAAGTTATATTACAATTACATTCATATATGCTGCATTCTCATCATTCCATGGTTGTCCAAAGACTTGCTACGTGATGCTTAACAGAATAAAACAGAGGACAAGTGGGCTTATAGGTTTATTTAATTTTTTCTTTTCTATACTAAAGCAATGAATAAACATCTGGACTTACTCTCAAAATGTTTAGTCGACTTCCTGACTCTTAAATAAATGCAAATAAAGATCAGCAACCCAACAAAGGCAACAACAGGTACAACTTAAGCGGTGACAGTTTGTGATCTCTGTTTTTGTTTCCTGCATGAACACAGAATCCCTTCTGATTAATACAATCCACGGCTTGAGAATATCTCAATTAAGTCATGTAACTAAGTAGAGAAACAAATAGTTAAAGGTGCTGGAATTTTTATCTCTAAAATAACCCCTCCACATTGGAATGAAAATTTATAATAAAAAATCCCCACAAAAAAATAAAAATTTGAGATTTAACAACTACTTACTTTGTGCCAATTAATTAATTAGTTGCTGCTTGATGCCTATCAAAAATGTTATCACTATAAAAAAGGAACAGCATTAACCGAAGTACAAAGGGAAGAGGAACAACGATTCATAGTTTTAAGCAACAGCGATTCTGTAAAATGGATTTCGTAGTTTACCTCTTTCCTTTATCCCCACGTCCTTGACTTGAGCGATTCACAACGGTGAGTGAAGGATGAAGACGACTATCCGTCTGGCTGGGAGAGAAGAGAATCAGAGAACGATAGATTTAGGTTTCAAAGATTTTTTTGTTGTTGTAAAAAACGACGTTGTTTTAAGCAATTTTCTTTTAAAAAAAAAAATACGCAATGACCCCCTTTGACTCCTCTGACCCGGGAGTCACTGAAACCCGGGGGGGTTTTGGGGGTCGGAGGGGTTGATGTGCATATAGGGTCCAACTTGAGACTCGAACCCTTAGAGGAGAGGGGTCAGGGTTGACCCGGGTCAACCCGGGGGGTGGGGTGGGGTTTTAAAACACTGGTTAGAATAACTTGTGAATACTTCATAATGCACTAAAAACATGTATTTAAGAAATAAATAGTCTAGACTTGTAATGAGCATATTATTGGCATATGAGTATGAAAAGTGGGACCAGTAAATGATTGAGTCTTAAATATGACTTGATTAAATTAATATGTAATTATGATGTGAATGATTCCTACGTACTCTAGGTGTGCCTAGAGAACCTTGCACTTGAGGATTGTATTGGAACCGTATAGGTCTCGGCCATGTAGGAATAATTAGGGTTTTTAGGTGCAAAATTATGTTGAAGGATGATTTAGGGCTCATTGGGTGTCCTATGCTCTAATCAACTTGTAAAGTTAAAATCTAACCTAGAGTTTGCATATGGTTCTTGCTCGGCCTTGTTAGGATGTGCGGAGTTGAAGTGTTGAAAAATAATCTAACCTTAGTGGCCCTAGAGTGTGGTTCTAAGGTTGTGTGAATTGTTGGAATTATGTGGTTGTTAGAATAACTTGTGAATAGTTCATAATGCACTAAAAACATGTATTTAAGTAATAATTTATAAATCAATTTTTGTCTGTTAAGAAATTTGACATGAAAAATTAACAGAGTACGAAAAATTATTTTTGTTTATATTTATGTTATGAAACTTGAATATTTGATTGGTTATATGACTTATTATGAACTGTTATATGTATTAAATATAAATTATATTATATATATTAAAATTTTTATTTAATATCAAAATGTGTCCTAACGTGTCGAAATATGACATTTTTTAGAATTTACGTGTCGACGTGTCATATCCCGTGTCAGTGTCGGTGCATCATAGAAACATCCAAAAATATAGGATTGGTGGTACTGTACCATCTATCCTAATATTTTATGAAAAAAAATAGATTTACATAACTCACAGTACAAAAATTGCACCGTTTTTCTAAACCTTTGCATACGCAACGTAACATCTCTCGCGCGTAATACATCTAACAAGACTTCAGGAGTCAGTTTGTTGACTTTGGTTTATGTGTGAGTGACTTTTTGCATAAATGTGGAATTAGCCAGTGTTGTATACACAACGCGCAAATCTTGATTTGCATGATCAACACGCAACTATATCAACAACTATCTTTATCAATATCAAATTTCCTTAAGCCGCGTTTGATGGAAGATTTTTCTTAGGCTTCTCGGGAAATTGAAGATTGTAATTTTATGGAAAAAATGTTTGTCCTTTTAAATGACCCAATTTATATCCTTTCACTCTCACAAAGAGGTGGGACCCACAGCTTTATTTTTTTGTCCACTCTCTCTCCTCCTTTATCTATATCTTTTTCTCACTTAAAATGACACAACTTTACATCATTTAAATTGACACACACTTTATCCTAATTTTATTTATTCACGTTTAGTACGAGATTTTTAAAAAAAATTTAGGAATTTGATTTTCGTTGAATTTTATTTTTTGTGTAAAATTTTCTAAAAATAACATCCAAAAATACCACTCAGAGGTGGTAGTCTAGAATTTCCATGGCAAGAGAAAATTTAACACAACCAAATATAGAATCAATAAAATTAACCCAACGTTTCTGTGAATATTTTACCTTACCAAACAACTTTTTGATAATATTTTCGAAAAATTCATTTTCTCATCATATTTATGAAAATCATGATTCCTGAATAAAACAAAATTTCTCCTCTATTAAACAACCCTTTGATTACTTACGAATCCAATGCAAGTCATTGTGTCGGTAAAAATGAACTACAGAATATATTCTTTTTACCTATGGCAAAGATCCATCGTTGATCTTGAAGGATATATATAAAGTAAGGTTGTGGAAGATTGAAATTAGCACATCCATTAATATCAGTGTGACAAACTTTTTCTTTCACCGTCTAGTATACACAACGCATCAATCTTGACTTGCATAGTGAATAACTTTAGCTAATTACCTCAAAAATCTTGAATCTATAGGATATTTTACATTCCCACACACTTTTACATTCACACCTAAGAGACTTGCACGATGTTAACGGACCGAGCTGGACCGAGTTTTGATCTTAAAAGATTAAATTTGTGTTTAAATGTGTCAGTCTGACCAAGCATGTTACCTGTTATGAATATAATTATCGGTCTGTGACCTGACTTATTTGCAAAAAAATAAAAATCTGAAGTAGCCTGTTTAAAAAAAAATAAGATTATAAAAATTTATCCAAACAGATTATACAATCAACAGCACTAGTAATTTCATAAATATTTTAATGGATATTCAAACAACATAATATAGAACAAAATCATTCAAAAGGTCAGTTTAACCAATAAAATGAGATGCAATTGATTGAGAAAAGAGAAAGGGCTATTACAAGTAGTATATTAAATATAAAATAAAAATAAAAATTAATATATTAGGCCGGCCTGAGAGGCTCTAAGGCCGAGCTTTTGAATTGGAGCCTGAAACCATTTTATTAAACGAGCTTTTATACACGTTCAAGCATGTTCCCACTAACCAATTTTAGACATGTAAGTTCAGGCCTTCACGAGCTGAACCAAAGGTCCCTGATTCGTTTTCATCCTTACTTGCACCAGTCATACAACAACAACAACAACAACAACAACAACAACAACAACAACAACAACAATAATAATAATAATAATAATAATAACAATAATAATAATAATAATAATAATAATATATTAGTTAATTAATTACTTTTTTTGGTAAGGAATTAATTAATTAATTAACTATTAGCACCAGAGGTTTATTAACGGCAGCTTAAGAAAAAATTCCTTACACATGCTCTGTGTCGTCTCATAATTTGTAAATCAACTATTAAGATTTAAATTTTTCATTTTAATTTAAAACCTGCGGAACCAATTTAAATAGTTAGTATAGGTTCATATAAAGTTTATAGATAATAAGTATAATATAAACATTTAAAATGAAAATATGTAGAACCAATTTAAATAGTTAGTATAGGTTCATAAAAAGTTTAGAGATAATAAGTGTAATATAAATATTTAAATAGATTCAGAAGACATCGGAAATAATTTTGTAAATCACTGTAGAACATAACTCAATTAGAGGTGTAAAAAAAAAGGGTAAAGTTACTTTATTCAATAATTAATTACAATATCAATTTATTTTGAATGAGAACGACGATATTTGAAGTGTATATTAAATATTGTCAATTAACAATTATTTACCGAATGAATGGTTAAAAGATGATTTAAGAATAAATTTTATTTGATTTTATAAAAAATGATATTATCATATAAAATTCTTAAAAATTATTTCCATGTCTTATACTAAAAGATATAAATTTATAAGTACTATGAATATGAATAGAAAATATACAAAAATAGGTTTGCCTTTGAATTACTTAAGATAATTAAGAAAACAAAAAACATAACCATAAGAGAATTGAAATGTGAAAAAATATGAGTACCACCAATCCTAATATTTTAGGAGAAGGTTATAGTTACTACCTCTTTTTCTTACTATCTCTTACTACTAAATCTTAACATTTGATTTCCGTCAATCTAACGGTTGTAATTTATTGGGTCATACTTATTAATTAATTATTAATTTTCAATAAATTTTAACCGTTAGATTAACGAAAATTAACGGTTAAGATTTGATAGTAAGAGTAAGTAAGAAAAAGAAGTAGTAAATATAACCTCCTCCTTTATGAAAAAAAAAAAAGATTTACAGAACCCACGGTACAAAAATTGCTCCGTTTTTTCTAAACCTTTGCATACGTAGCGTAGCATATCTCCAAATACATCTAACAAGCCTTCAGGAGTCGGTTTCTTAACTTTGGTTTATGTGAGTGAAAGTTTGGAATTAGCCCGTGTTGTATACACAACGCTCAAATTCTGATTTGCATGTTGAGTGGATGACTTTAGCTAATTACCTTCGATATCTATCTTGACTCTATTTGATGCACATGTTGTATATTTTATATCCACACACTTAATTTGCTTTCATGAACTGGCACTGGATGAGACATTGAAACAAAATCTGAATGCCCAGACCAATAGTGACTTCAAAATCCCACCTAAATAGAGTTGCTTGAGTTACAGTAGTAATAATAATAATATTACAATTATTATTAAATTTTTATTTAAAATATAAAAAAATCTAAAAACAATGGTGTTAAGACATTTCGTAAAGATTAAAAGAAAACTCTATAAAATAAATATTCTGTCTTAAAAATACATATTTTTTTTTAACGCAACGTAAATATCTGTAAATACATCTATCAGGACTTCAGGACTCGTTTTCTTGACTTTGGTTATTGCGTGACTGACTTTCTGTATATAAGCATCTGCAACATCCCATGAATTGCATACCATTCTCTGATTGCATTATTCAAACAGTGATTGAAGATTTCAACTTATACCCGACATTATGTTCCCTTTTCCAATTCTTCAGTTCATGAAGCTCATACCATTTTGGAAGCTTCTTGTAGTGTGCTTTTGTGCAATGTTAATGGCCTTTTCTTCTGATGTTGCTGCTGCTTCAGCCACGTTACAAAGCAGAGAAGCAAATGCTTTGTTGAAATGGAAAGCCAGCCTTCACAACCAAACCCAGGCTTTGCTATCTTCATGGACGGGCAATAGTCCTTGCAATAATTGGCTCGGAATTGAGTGTGACGTGTCCATGTCTGTCGCCAACATTAATCTTACAAATATTGGATTAAGAGGTACGCTTCAATGTCTCAACTTCACTTTACTTCCAAACATCCTCACTCTAAACATGAGTCTCAACTCCCTAAATGGAAGTATTCCTCCCCATATTGGGGTATTGTCCAAACTCTCCAGTCTTGATCTCAGTGACAATCATCTGACAGGAACAATTCCATCTGAAATAACACAGTTGTCAGGTCTTCGTACTTTAGACTTGGCTAATAATGTTTTCAGTGGTTCCATTCCTCAGGAAATAGGTGCATTAAGGAATTTGAGAGAGCTTAGTATTGAATGGGCCAATCTCACAGGGACTATCCCAATTTCTGTAGGAAAGCTAACCTTCTTGTCACGTTTTGATGTAGGAGGTAACAACCTTTCTGGCAACATTCCAAATGAAATTTGGAATTTGAGCAACTTAGAGTATTTAGCGCTTTGCATAAATAACTTTAATTTTTCAATTCCCCAAGAAATTGTGAAGTTGCAAAAGCTGGAGAGTCTACTTCTTTCGGAAAGTGGTCTTACCGGTCCCATCCCTGAAGAACTGTGGAAGTTGGGAAATCTAACATTGCTTCAGGTAGCAAGTTGCAACATCACAGGGTCTATCCCAATTTCAATAGAAAATTTGGCCAAACTCTCATATCTTGATCTCAGTCACAATCATCTCACAGGAACAATTCCATCTGAAATAACACAGTTGTCAGGTCTTCGTACTTTAGATTTGGCTGGTAACGTTTTCAGTGGTTCCATTCCTCAGGAAATAGGTGCATTAAGGAATTTGAGAGAGCTTAGCATTGAATGGGCCAATCTCACAGGGACTATACCAATTTCCGTAGGGAAGCTTGCTTTCTTGTCACGTTTTGATGTAGGAGGTAACAACCTTTATGACAACATTCCAAATGAAATTGGGAATTTGACCAACTTAGAGTATTTAGCGCTTTGCATAAATAACTTTAATGGTTCCATTCCTCAAGAAATTGGGAAGTTGCAAAAGCTAGAGAGTCTACTTCTTTCGGAAAGTGGTCTTACCGGTCCCATCCCCGAAGAACTGTGGAAGTTGGGAAATCTAACATTGCTTCAGTTAGAAAGTTTCAACATCACAGGCCCTATCCCAATTTCTATAGTAAATTTGACCAAAATGTCAATTCTAGATTTTGGAAACAACAAACTTTCTGGCTACATTCCTCAAGAAATTGGAATGATGAAAAATATGTCTGAACTTGATTTGTCCAATAACTATCTCTTTGGTGCAATACCCTCCACAATTGGAAACTTGAGCAATTTACAGTGGCTTTACCTTTATTCCAACTATCTCTCTGGTCGCATTCCCGATGAAGTTGGAAAACTCTATTCTCTTTCCACAATCCAATTGTTAAATAACAGCCTCTCCGGGCCAATCCCATCTTCCATAGGTAACTTGCTCAATTTGGTTTCCATCCGCCTTGATGGAAATAAACTCTCTGGTCCAATTCCTTCCACCATTGGAAACTTGACAAAGGTCACTATACTAAATTTATTCTCAAATGAACTCAGTGGCAACATTCCAATTGAAATGAACAGGCTTACTAATTTGGAAAAATTGCAAATAGATAATAATAACTTTATGGGTCATTTGCCTCACAACATTTGTGTTAGTGGAAAGTTGACAAACTTTACTGCTTTCAATAACCATTTTACTGGCCCCGTTCCAAAGAGTTTGAAGAATTGCTCAAGCCTTATAAGACTTCGGCTGCAACTAAACCAACTGACTGGAAATATAACAGATGATTTTGGTGTATATCCAAAGTTGGACTACATCGAATTGAGTGACAATAATTTTTACGGTCACATTTCGCCAAATTGGGGAAAGTGCTACAGCCTCCAAAGCCTCAAGATCTCCAACAATAATTTATCTGGTGTCATACCACCAGAACTAGGCGAGGCAATCAAATTACATGTACTTGACTTATCTTCAAACCATCTCACTGGAAAAATTCCAAACGAGTTAGATACTTTGACTTCACTGATCAAACTCTTGATAAGCAACAATCATCTTTCAGGAAATATCCTTGTACAAATAGCCTCATTGCAGGAACTTGATACCTTGGAGCTTGCAGCAAATAGTTTTAGTGGATTAATCACTGAACAACTTGCAAGGTTGCCTAAGTTATTGAACTTGAATTTGAGCCAAAATAAATTTAAGGGAAATATTCCTCTTGAGTTTGCCCATTTCAAAGTTCTTCGAAGTCTTGATCTTAGCAGAAATTTTTTGGGCGGGACAATACCTTCCATGCTTGGAGATCTTATATACTTAGAAATATTGAATCTCTCACATAATAATCTTTTTGGTATCATTCCCTCCAGCTTTGAAGGTATGTTAAGCTTGACAATTATTGATATATCATACAACCAATTAGAGGGTCCACTTCCAAATGCTCAAGCATTTCATAAGGCTACAATTGAAGCTTTCATAAATAATAAAGGCTTGTGTGGTAATGTCTCTGGCTTAAAACCTTGTCCTTCATCAAGTGGCATATCTCATCATCATAAGACCAACATGGTTATATTGGTGGTTTTACCCCTTACTTTGGGCATTATACTTCTAGTACTATTTGTTATCGGGGTGTCTTATCATCTCTGTCATTCTTCAAGCTCAAAAGAAAACCAAGATGAAGAATCTCAAGCTCAAAATCTATTTGCAATATGGAGTTTTGATGGAAAAATGGTGTATGAGAATATTATTGAAGCCACAGAAGAGTTTGACAACAAACATCTTATTGGGGTTGGAGGGCATGCAAGTGTTTACAAAGCAGAGTTGCCCACAGGTGAAGTTGTTGCTGTGAAGAAACTCCATTCAGCACCAAATAAAGAAATCTCCAATCCAAAAGCTTTCACTAGTGAGATCCAAGCTTTGACAGAAATTCGACATCGTAACATTGTCAAGTTATATGGGTTTTGTTCTCATTCACGACACTCATTTCTGGTTTATGAGTTCTTGGAGAAGGGTAGTGTGGGGATGATTTTGAAAAATGATAAACAAGCAACTGAATTTGATTGGGATAGGAGGGTGAATGTAGTTAAAGGCGTAGCTAATGCTTTATGCTATATGCACCATGATTGCTCGCCTCCAATTGTCCATCGAGATATATCAAGCAAGAATGTTCTTTTGGATTTGGAATATGTGGCTCATGTCTCTGACTTCGGAACTGCTAGGCTCCTCAATCCTAATTCAAGCAACTGGACCTCATTTGCAGGAACCTTTGGATATGCTGCTCCAGGTTAATTCCCTTTCTTTAAATTGTTAAGGATATAATGACTTTGTAGTTTGTCTATGGTAGTCATTTGTTAACATAACTAATTAATTATTATCTACACATATCATGTTTCTTTATAGATTCTTCTTTCGTACATGATAACTTTTTTGAATTTTGTACAGAACTTGCGTACACAATGGAAATAAATGAGAAGTGTGATGTGTATAGTTTTGGAGTATTAGCATTGGAAATACTTTTTGGAAAGCACCCCGGTGATGTTATGTCTTCTTCATGGATTGTTATGGCCTCAACATTTGATAATATGTTGTTGATGGATAAGTTGGACCAACGTCTCCCTCATCCTGTGAAGGATGTATTATCAATTGCAAGGATAGCAATTGCTTGCTTGAGTGAAAGCTCAGGCTCTCGCCCTACCATGAAGCAGGTTGTTAAGGAGCTTGCATTGTCAGACTGATCTTCAATGGAAGAGTTTCAGATTGCCACATAAATATAACCGAAAGTTTGTAGTTACCAAATTTGCCTTAACTACTTCACTTGTGCTTGTCTATTGTGTTGTAAACTTTTTTTTTTCTTTCACCTATTTTGTATTGTAAGTCATTTTAATTTTTCTATTTTGCGACGGAATTTTTCCCTCGCTGATTGTGAATTTTCTAGTAGTGCAAATTGTGTACTCAAATAATAAGTAACTATCATTCGAAGTACACTCTACTGTCATCTTGATATATATATATATATATATATATATATATATATATATATATATATATGGGGAAGGATATTGTAACAACCAAGTTGTGTTACTACCAATCAATCTCACCGTTAGATTGATTATGTTGATCCAACGGTTATAGTTATTTCCATCATTGTATGGTCATGATTTTCCAAATTTAATACTTTATATTTAGTTTCACCTTTGTACGGTTATGATCTCTTATATTTAATGCTTTCACTTTAAATATGGAGAATCATAACTATACAAAAATGGAAATAAATATAATCGTTGGATCAACATAATAGATCTAACGGTGAGATTGATTGGTAGTAACACAACTTGGTTGTTACAATATCCTTCCCATATATATATATATATATATATATATGACTTTGGGTAACTTAGACATGAAGTTCTGATGGATGCAGCTAGAAATTTCTGAACTACCAAAAAAAATGTCAGAAAAAAATAACAATAACTATTATTTTTACTATTGTTAAGCATTATTTGTTCGAAAAATAAGAAGAAAAAGAAGTAAGTTTTTTGGTACGGATATGATAGAACTTAAAATTTATAATTTCTTTGTACCAAAAAAATTATAATTTCTTTACTCTGGATGTTAGTTTTAAATTGTTTTTTTCCTAATTTTTGACTGATCCTAATACTAAAATTTCTAAGTATAACAATATTAGAATGGTTAGAGAAGAAATGAACCGAAACAAGGATGCCAAAAAAATTAAAGACCAAAATTAAGGGATAAGTCATATTCAGCTAATCACCACAAAGTGTAATTCCAAAACACTTAAGCCAAAGATGGATAATAATAATCTACTACTACTAATAATAATAAAATCATGGAAGTCAATCAATAACTAGTATTGATCATGCAAATGCAAGATAACCATTCACATCATAGTCATTCAGTGTGTTCTTGATCAATCAGTAGTGCTAAGTTTTGATAACAAATGTGCTTCTATTCATTATCAGTCATTCGCAAAGATACACGATAACAATTTGATTGAAAACCATATGGCAGCTTTTATTTACAAATCCATGATAAGTGATAATCTTAATATATGATAAATATAAAATGTCAAATTCATTTTGACTATGAACTTTAGATTTTCTTTTTTTTTTTTTGTCTTTTTTTTTTCTTTTTGATAGTTTTTTTTTTTGCCTTTTTAGCCTGAAAATAGGATAAAACAATCCTAAGAAGCCATTCTTATATTTATTTTTTTGGGTCGGTCACTTCTGTTGCTACAAGGAAAAATTTGTGCAACAACTCATTATAACTATGTACAAGGGATCGTAGTACATAGTTATAATAATAAAGTTATTTTATTTTTATTTGTTTTGTTTACCAAAAAAAGAAACAGTTATTTCTTTTGTCTTTCATCAGAAATTATCGGCTGATGTGTTGGAAAGAGAAAAAATAATTTTATCATTATAGCTATGAGTTTTATTAGTCTCCCTTTACATAAGATAATTATATTACGATGTAGAGAGAAAATTGATAAGTTCCACCATTACAAGAAAAAAGAAAGAAAGAAAAAGATGGGGTGCGAAAATCGAAGTGAAAGAACATGAAAGAAGCTATCTGATGTGAAAGAAGAGTAATATTTTTTTATAACTATATATTACTCCATAATACATAATTATAATGAGATATTGCAAAAAAATTTCCTTGCAACATGAAAAGTAATTTTGCCATTTTTGTGTGTGCAGAAAACAAACTAAATCAACACGCAACTATCAAGAGCTATCCTTCACACGCTTTGAACAATAGTTCCGTAAGTACTTTTGGCTCCAACGCAGTCATTGCGTTGGAACAAAATGAACTGTGGATAAGATTCTATTTTATCTATGAAAAAATCGATCATTGATCTTAAAGCACATAAAGTCAGATTGTGAAAGTTTGAACTTGCGCTTCCGTTGATATATATGACAAGTTTTTGCTTTCACCGTATTAGTACACACATCGAACCAATCTTGAATTGCATGAGTATATGACTTTAGCTGATTACCTCAAAAGTCTTGAATCGATAGGATATTTTACATTCTCACACTTTGCTTTCACAACATGTATCTATTATTTCTCTTTTAGACCAAGAGTTACTGCAAAAATACACTAAGAGACTTGCCCGATGCAGCAATAATAATAATTAGTAAATAAATTAATTGATGGATTATATATTAGCACCGATGGTTTATTAACAGCAGCTTAAGAAAAAAATTCTTGCTCATGATCTGTCTCGTATCATGATTTATGAACCAACTATTAAGATTTAATTTTAGCATTTAAAATATAAAATTGGGGAAAGAATTTAAAGATCAGTATAGGTTCAGATATTGGGTTATACTTTTGTTACTTAAAAGCCTTTTGCTTTAATATATGAGAAAGGCCCAAGGATGAAGAAGTGAATTGCCCCAAAATTTTGCCAAGTGCTACTAAAATGTTTGAAGAGGTTTTGATGAGTCAAAACAATGGCTACAAGTTAAAGATCAAGCATTGATTACCAAAAAAAAAAAAAAAAAGAAAGATCAATCATTGAATAGTATCAAGACTTAACGCAAATAATATTACACTTCAAAATTTAATCATGCATACATTGATATTTCTACTTGAATGATTTTTTTAATTTTTTTTTAGCATCGTCTTGCTTTATGCTTGCATTTATTTTGGTTTTATATGTCTCTTCAATCATGCTTAACATAAATTAAAAATAGCATCTTTAGTGACTAAAAAACATAAATAATAATAATAATAAAATTAAAATAAATTGAAATTCCCTTATCTTATCATTGTCATCAAAAGTTAAATTATTTTAAATCTCACAGAATCAATATTATATTCTAAATTTCTTTATTTTATTCGATAATTTTTTAATTTTAAAAATCACCTAACTAATATTATTTTTTCTTTTACATGTTTATATCAATAAGGAATCAACATTATATCAAATTATTTGCCAAAAATTTCTCTATTTTTTCAATCATCAATTTCCAAATCACTTAATAAATACAATATATTAATTAACCAAAATAATCTCTCATGTCTTAATTCAATTTTATATCATAAGCATATCATTCAGGTTTACCAAAAATTTCTCACTTTCTTTTCTTTGACTTTTACTTTGAGCTACTACCTGAAATAAGCAACCCATCATTTTATACCGATGCACAATTTTGATCTTGTTTATTTTAGCACACACATTTTCCAAAATTGCTCTTTATATCTTTTAGGGTGTTGTTTTTTTTCCTGTAATTGGAGAAAACATCACTTTCTTTTTCTGTTGCATAAGAATTGATTTCCCTTATCTTTTAACCATTACACAACATTTACCAAATAAAAACAAAAATCATTCTTACTTCACGAAACATATATGTCATTGAAACACATTTTCAAAAGCGTTCTAAGATTCCAAATTCCCGAAATTGAAAATCGAGGCATTTCATTGAAAAAAATGATAGAAAATCATTCTTGTGAGTGATCAAAGGAAAGTCTATTGTGAAGTGTTGAAGAAGAATGAGATTGACAATGACCTAACACGGCAACAAAATTGCTCTTTAGCCACGGCAAAAATCGTGGCAAATTATCATAAAAACCGTGGCTAAATAAGTTATCCATTGTTTCAAAAATCGTGGCTAAAATTGGCGTTGCATTATTTTAACCACGGTATTTTTTGCATTTAAGCACGGTCTTTATGAGTGTGGTAACATTGAGTTAGCCACAATTTATGTTATATTAGCCACGTTATAGTCGTGCCTAAATGATTTGGATTCCAACGATGAAAAGTTTTATTTAGACACAGTCAGAACCGTGGCTAATTATAAGGAATTTTTTAAAATAAAAAATAAAAAATATTACAAATTTTTCCAATCATATAAAAAGAAAATGATAAAAATTGCATTTGATACAAGAACCAAAAACCAAATTAAGGGAGATAATCAAATAAAATGGAGTACACAATTTAACACAATACATTTTTTTTATGTTGTACGTAGAGGTGTGCAAATGGGCTCAAGCCCTTGTCAGCAAAATGGTATGGTGCTCATAACTCAACAAATTAGTGAACAAAACAAGTCTCATTAAAGGAGAAAAATTAACTACTCAAATATTAGTACTCATTTTAGTGCATGCAAGCATCACTGGAAAAAGGTTCTTGTTAGATGCTCTCTGGCTGTAGCCCATGCTTAAGTTAGTGTCTGCAATATCAGAAACTCACTATCAAATTGAAGATCAAGTAAGATGTCATTGTTATTCTAAAATTTAATCCATCAAAATTTAAAACTGGTTCAAATTTGGGCTTGCAAAAATGGGAGTTAGATAACTTTCATCAAGGGTAATGTAAGTTCGAGGAACAATCTAGCTACCTTTGGTCTCTATGGAAAGCTTTTGTGAGTTTGAGTTAAAATCCAATGAAAAATACACATTACTAACAGAAACTAAGCTGAAATAGAGTTGCATTACCTGCTCTGACAAGGGGCATCAGCATCCAAGCTATGGGTGGTCACTTTTTCAGCAATAACAGGTCCATTTGTTTCAAGTATCATCCTTCAAGAAAAAATGAACTATTAAAAAAATAAATTAAACTTTCATAGAAAAGAAAATTTGTAGCTAAGAAATATGCACACCCTCCATCAACAATCTCTTCAACACATAAAAGAATGACAACAGTCTCTTTTGTCAACATTGTTCCTGAAAAAGGCACACACAGGAATAAATAAAGCAGAGCATGATGAGTAAAGGTGCATCTCGTTTTAAATCCAGATAGCAAATTACAACAAAAAATACCTCAACAGAATGGTGACTGCATCAAAGAAACCTTGAAGAACTTATGCTAAAATGAGCTCATTTTCATTATCACCACCAGTGACAAAGAAATGAAGGTCTTGTACAAATTCGTAAATAATGATAGTGTTCCCAAGCAGTGTTACCTCAGCTGTAGATATTGTAAACAAAATATCAGTTTCAAAAGAAACATGATAAACACA